CTAGGTTGGCAGGAGCTGGGGCTAACAGCAGAAGCTCACCCCGCTCCCCGGAGAAACGTCAGGAGAGAATGCTTCTGGAACATGGCCAGACTGCCCGAAAAACCTCCAACAACCCAGAGATGGAATCACCTGTGTTTTGGGAAGGAAGGGAAGAAGGAAGGAAGAGAAGAAGGAAGGAAGGAGAAGGAAGGAAGGAAGGAAGGAAGGAAGGAAGGAAGGAAGGAAGGAAGGAGGAAGGGCTGGGGCCGCGGACAGGAGATGCCCAGAGCAAGGCTTCTCTTGGCCCTCCTTAGGCACCCACTTCTTCCTCTTCCTCTTCCTCCTCCTCTGCTCCTTCGCCACCTTCTTTTGCCCCTCTACCTGCTCCCCCCCACCCCACTTCTCTTCGCCCAAGTCTTTCTCTTGGCCTTCTCTTCTCCCTCCTCGTCTCACTTTCTCCTTCTCCTCCCTCGCCTTTCCCCTCCGCCACCCCCTCTTTCTCCTTCTCCTTCTCCGGCTACCTTCCTTCCCTCCCTTCTTCTTCCCCACCTCGGTCTCTTCTCCTTGTCCTTCTCCTTCTCTTTCCTTCCTCTCCTCCTCTGCCACCTCCTCTTTCTCCTTCTCCGGCTTCCTTCCTTACCTTCTTTCTCTACCTTCTTTGGTTCCTTCCCCCTCCTCCTCCTCTGCCCCTTCTTTACCTTCTTCTTCCCCACCTCGGACCATTCTCCTTGTTCTTCTCCTTCTCTTTGCTTCCTCTCCTCCTCCTTCTCTTCCTCCGCCACCTCTTCTTTCTCCTTCCTCTACCTCCTTCCTTCCCTTCTTCTTCCCCCTTCCTCCCTGCCCTCCTTTGGCTCTTTCCTTCCTTCTCTACCTTCTTCGGTTCCCCCGCCTTTGTCCCTTCCTTACCTTCTTCTTCCCCACCTCGGACCATTCTCCTTGTTCTTCTCCTTCTCTTTGCTTCCTCTCCTCCTCCTTCTCTTCCTCCGCCACCCCGTCTTTCTTCTTCTCCGGCTACCTTCCTTACCTTCTTCCCCACCTCGGTCTCTTCTCCTTCTCCGGCTTTTCTCTACCTTCTTCGGTCCTTTCCCCTCCTCCTCCTCTGCCCCTTCCTTACCTTCTTCCTCCCCACCTCGGTCCCTTCTTCTCCTTCGCCTTCTTCTTCAGATTAGTCTGGCATGACTTGGTCTTGAAACTCCCCTTCCTTCTCTACCTTCTTCGGTCCCTTCTCCTCCTCTGCCCCTTCGCCTTTTTCTCCTTCCCCGTCTCCCTTTCTCCTTTTCCTCCGCCACCCAAGCCTTCTCTTGGCCTTCTCTTCTCCCTCCCCGTCTCCCTTTCTCCTTCCCTTCCTTCTCCTTTCCCCTCCGCCACCCCCTCTTTCTCCTTCTCCGGCTCCCTCCCTCCCTTCGCTACCTTCTTCGGTCCCTTCTCCTTCTCCCTCCCTTTCCTTCTTCTTCCCCACCTCGGTCTCTTCTTCTTCTCTTTAGTCTGGCATGACTTGTTTTTGGTAAAAGCACCATTTCTCCTTCTCCGGCTACTTCCCTTCCTTCTCACCGGGAGCCCGGCGCGTCCTCCTCCTCCTCTTCTGCCCCTTCGCCACCCCCTTTCCCCCCTCGACCTGCTCCCTCTCCTCCTTTCCTCACACACGCCTCGTTCTCCTTCCCCGTCTCCTTTTCTCCTCTTCCTCCGCCAAGCCCTCCTTCTCCGACTACCTACCTCCCTTGCCTTCTTCTTCCCCACCTCGAACTCTTGTTCTTCGCCTTCTCTTTCCTTCCTCTCCTCCTCCTTCTCTTCTTCCGCCTCCCCCTCTTTCTCCTTCTCCTTCTCCGGCTCCCTCCCTCCCTCCCTTCCCTTCCTCTTCCCCACTTCGCTCCCGTCTCCTTTTCCTTAGTCTTGTTTTTGATAAAAGCACTCTTTCTCCTTCCCCGGATACTTACCTTCTCTAACTTCTTCGCTCCCTTCTCCTTCTCCCGTGTCTCCTCGCCCAAGACCTTCTTCTCTTGGCCCTTCACCCTCTCCGTCTCACTTTCTCCTTCTCCTCCCTCGCCTTTCCCCTCCGCCACCCTTCTTTCTCCTTCTACCTCCCTCCCTTGCCTTCTTCTTCCCCACTCCTTGTCCTTCCTCTCCTCCTCCTTCTCTTCCTCCGCCACCCCCTTTTTCTCCTTCTCCGGCTATCTTCCTTCCTTACCTTCTTCTTCCCCACCTCGCTCCCTTCTCCTCCTTTTCCTTCTCTTGCCCTCCTCTCCTCCTCGTTCTCTTCCTCCTCCGAGTCGGGCGGCGTCTGGCGGTGGAGACTCACCGGGAGCGTCTTCCTCTTCTTCCTCCTCCTTCTCCTCCTCTGCCCCTTCGCCACCTCCTTTCCCCCCTCGAACTCTTCCCTCTCCTCCTTTCCCCATCCACGCCTCTTTCTTCTTTTCCTCCGCCACCCCGTCTTTCTCCTTCTCTTTCTCCGGCTACTTACCTCCCTTCCTTACCTTCTTCTTCCCCACCTCGGATCCTTCGCCTTGTTCTTCGCCTTCTCCTTTTCTTGGCCTTCTCTTCCCCCTCCCCGTCTCACTTCCTCCTTCTCCTCCCTCGCCTTTCCTCTCCGCCAGCCCCTTTTCCTCCTTCTCCTTCTCCCTACCTCCCTTCCTTACCTTTTTCTTCCCCGCCTCGGTCCCTTCTCCTTCTCCTTGTCTTGCCTTCCTCTCCTCCTCCGCCAGTCCCACTTTCTCCTTCTCTTTCTCCGACTACCTCCCTCCCGTCCCTTACCTTCTTCTTCCCCACCTCGCTCCCTTCTCCTTCTCTTGCCTTCCTCTCCTTCCCCCTCCGCCAGCTCCTCTTTCTCCTTCTCTTTTCCGACTACCTCCCTCCCTTACCTTCTTCTTCCCCACCTCGCTCCCTTCTCCTTCTCCTGCCTTCCTCTCCTCCTCCTTCTCCCCGTCTCACTTTCTCCTTCTCCTCCCTCTTCTTTCCCCTCCACCAGTCCCTCTTTCCCCCTTTCCTTCTCCAACTACCTCCCTCCCTTCCATACCTGCTTCTTCCCCACCTCGTTCCCTTCTCCTTCTCCTCTCCTCCTCCTCCTCCCCCCGTCTCCCTCTCTCCTTCTCCCCCCTCCCTTTCCCTCCGCCAGCTCCTCTTTCTCCTTCTCCGACTACCTCCCTTCCTTCCTTCCCTTCTTCTTCCCCACCTCGCTCCCTTCTCCTTCTCTTGCCTTCCTCTCCTTCTCTTCCTCCGCCAGCCCCTCTTTCTCCTTCTCCGACTACCTCCCTCCCTTCCATACCTTCTTCTTCCCCACCTCGTTCCCTTCTCCTTCTCTTGCCTTCCTCTCCTCCTTCTTCTCTTCCTCCGCCAGCCCCTCTTTCTCCTTCTCCTTCTCCGACTACCTCCCTTCCATACCTTCTTCTTCCCCACCTCGTTCCCTTCTCCTTCTCTTGCCTTCCTCTCCTCCTTCTTCTCTTCCTCAGCCAGCCCCTCTTTCTCCTTCTCCGACTACCTCCCTCCCTTCCATACCTTCTTCTTCCCCACCTCGTTCCCTTCTCCTTCTCCTTCTCTTGCCTTCCTCTTCTCCTCCTTCTCTTCTTCCGCTAGTCCCTCTTTCTCCTTCTCCTTCTCTCTACCTCCCTTCTCTACCTTCTTCTTCCCCACCTCGTTCCCTTCTCCTTCTCTTGCCTTCCTCTCCTCCTTCTTCTCTTCCTCCGCCAAGCCCTCTTTCTCCTTCTCCTTCTCTACTACCTCCCTTCCATACCTTCTTCTTCCCCACCTCGTTCCCTTCTCCTTCTCTTGCCTTCCTCTCCTCCTTCTTCTCTTCCTCCGCCAAGCCCTCTTTCTCCTTCTCCTTCTCTCTACCTCCCTTCTCTACCTTCTTCTTCCCCACCTCGTTCCCTTCTCCTTCTCTTGCCTTCCTCTCCTCCTCTCCTTCTCTTCCTCCACCAGCCCCTCTTTCTCCTTCTCCTTCTCCGACTTCTTCCCTCCCTTCCATACCTTCTTCTTCCCCGCCTCGCTTCCTTCTCCTCCTCCTCGTTCTCGAGCTTGGAGGCGTCTGGCGGCGGGGACTCACCGGGAGCCGGGCGCGTCCTCCTCCTCCTCTTCTTCCTCCTCCTTCATTCAAGAGAAGGAAAGGAGAAGGGAGGGGAGGAGAGGGGGGGAGGAGAAGGGGAGGGCCCTGCGCTACTTCTCTATATAAGACCCGCGGGGCTCCCTTCGGCCGCAAAGGCGAGACAGCCAGAAAGAAGGAAGGCCAGGGCGCGCCTCCTCCTTCTCCTCCTTCTCTCCTTGCGCTCCTCTTGCGCTGCCGCCTCCTCCTCCTCCTCCTCCTCCTCCTCCTCAGGTGCCCGCCTCCCTCCTGGCTCTCCTCCTCCTCCTGGCCCCGCCCTCCTCCTCCTCTTCCCCCCTCCTCTTCCTCCGAGGTCTCCCCAAAAGCCCGCTCCGCGCCGGAGGACGAGAGAGAAGAGCCCGGCGCGCCGCCCGGACGCCCACTTTGCTCGCTTCTTTCCCCCGTTCCGCCTCGGGTTTGCCTTCCCTTTCCGCGTGGAGACCCTCCCGAAGGTGCTGCCCTCCTCGGAGAACCCGGCCAGACCCCTCGCGAAGCCCCTCTGACTCGGATCCGGGCGCCCCCCCCTCCCACGCGTGGAGCCCCACTCGGCGCCGGGTTCCTTCCACCTTCCTTCCGCGGAGCCGTCCCGATCTTCCTCCTTCCTTTCCCCGAGCGCTCTCTGCGGGGGAGAACCCGTGAGCCAGCTCCCCACTCGGCTTCCCAGTCTTGCGTGGGTCCGCTCCGCGAAAGAAGAAGAAGAAGTAGAAGAAGAGGAGAGAGAGGCGCGCGCGGGCTTCCCTTCCAAGCCGTCTCTCTCTCTCTCTGTCTCTTAGTCCTCTCCTCCTTCCCCTCGATTCTCCTGCGTGGGTTTTGGGGGGCCCCTTTCCTCCGTTTCCCTCTTGCCACGGAGGAGAGGCGAGTTGTCCCGGAGAGGAAGGGATCCGCTTGAGCTGCCTGCCCGCCTTCGTGCCTGCCTGCCGTCGGAGGCTGCGTGCCGTGGTGTTGCCTTCCCACGCGGGGCGATGCCTGCCTCGGGGCTGGAGCTGCTCTCGGCGCTGGCCACGGCGGCCGCCTGCCTGGTCTCGCTCTCTTTGCTCCTGGCCGCCGCCCAGCAGCTCTGGCAGCTCCGCTGGGCCGCCACGCGAGACAAGGCCTCCAAGCTCCCCCTGCCCAAGGGCTCCATGGGCTTCCCCCTCGTCGGAGAGACCTGCCACTGGCTCCTCCAGGTAAGGACGCCCCCTCCCCAGCACCCCACGGTGCATCCACGAAACTCTCCGTCACTCTCTCTCTCATAGACCCCTCGAGTTGGAAGGGACCCCCTGGGATACCCCCTCCAACGCCCCATATCCATGTCTGTATATGCATCTATCAGAATCTAATGGGAGAGACCCCCAGGGCCACCCCCTCCAACACCCCAGGTGTATCTGTGGATTTCTCTCTCTCCCTCTTGTAGAATCCTCGAGTTGGAAGGGACCCCCTGGGATACCCCCTCCAATACCCCATATCCATGTCTGTATATGCATCTATCAGAATCTAATGGGAGAGACCCCCAGGGCCACCCCCTCCAACACCCCAGGTGTATCTGTGGATTTCTCTCTCTCCCTCTTGTAGAATCCTCGAGTTGGAAGGGACCCCCTGGGATACCCCCTCCAATACCCCATATCCATGTCTGTATATGCATCTATCAGAATCTAATGGGAGAGACCCCCAGGGCCACCCCCTCCAACACCCCAGGTGTATCTGTGGATTTCTCTCTCTCCCTCTTGTAGAATCCTCGAGTTGGAAGGGACCCCCTGGGATACCCCCTCCAATACCCCATATCCATGTCTGTATATGCATCTATCAGAATCTAATGGGAGAGACCCCCAGGGCCACCCCCTCCAACACCCCAGGTGTATCTGTGGATCTCTCTCTCTCCCTCTTGTAGAATCCTCGAGTTGGAAGGGACCCCCTGGGATACCCCCTCCAATACCCAATATCTGTGTCTGTATAGAGCTATATAGCCTATGGGAGAGACCCCCAGGGCCATCCCCTCCAACATCCCAGGTGTACCCACGGCCCCCCCCCCCCCCTCCCTCTCTGTCACAGACTCCTCGAGTTGGAAGGGACCCCCCCCCCCCCCGGGTTATCCCACCTCCAACATCCTATATCTATGTCTGTGTCTGTATAGAGCTATATAGCCTATGGGGGAGACCCCAGGACCTTCCCCTCCAAGATCCCAGGAATATCCACAGACCTCTCTCTCTCTCTCTATCATAAAATCCTAGAGTTGGAAGGGACCCCCTGGGCTATCCCGTCCAATATCCCATATATATGTCTGTATATAGAGCTATATATGCATGTATCGGAATCCAATGGGAGAGACCCCCATGGCTATTCCCTCCAGCTTCCCAGGTGTATCCACAGATCTCTCTCTCTCTCTCTCTCTCTCTCTCTCTCTCTCTAGATAGATAGATATATCATAGAACCCTAGAGTTGGAAGAGACCCCCAGGGTCATCCCCTCCAACATCCCAGATGTATGTATGTCTGTATATAGAGCTATATATGAACCTATCAGATTCCTATGGAATAGACCCCCAAAGGCGTCCCCTCCAACATCCCAAGTGTATCCACAGATCTCTCTCTGTCTCTCTCTCTCGCTCTCTCTCTCTATATATGTATATATAGATATATCATAGAATCCTAGAGTTGGAAGGGACCCCCAGGGCCATCCTCTCCAACACCCCATACCTATGTCTGTGTCTGTATAGAGCTATATAGCCTATGGGAGAGACCCCCAGGGCCATCCCCTCCAACATCCAAAGTGTATCCACAGATCTCTCTCTCTCTCTCTCCTATCTTAGAATTCTAGAGTTGGAAGAGACCCCCTGGGATATCCCCTCCAACACCCCATATCCATGTCTGTGTCTGGATAGAGCTATATAGCCTATGGGAGAGACCCCCAGGGCCATCCCCTCCAACATCCCATATCTATGTCTGGGTCTGTATATAGAGCTAATATATGTAGGTATCAGAATCCTATGGGAGAGACCCCCAGGGCCATCCCCTCCAATATCCAAGGTGTATCCACAGATCTCTCTCTCTCTCTCTCTCCTATCTTAGAATTCTAGAGTTGGAAGGGACCCCCTGGGATACCCCCTCCAACATCCCATATCTATGTCTGTGTCTGTATAGACTTACATAGCCTATGGGAGAGACCCCCCAGAGGCTTCCCCTCCAACATCCCAGGTATATCCATGGGTCTTTCTCTCTCTCTCTCTCTCTCTCTCTCCCTCTTCCTCTCCCCCCCTCTCTCTCTGGTAGAATCCTAGAATTGGAAGGGACCCCCAGGGCCATCTCCTCCAATATCCCAGATGTATGTATGTGTCTGTATATAGAGCTATATATTCATGTATCAGAACCCTATGGAAGAAACTCCCAGGACCTTCCCCTCCAACATTCCAGGTGTATCCACAGATCTCTCTCTCTCTCATAGAATCCTAGAGTTGGAAGGGACCCCCTGGGCTATGCCCTCCAATATCCCATATATATGCCTGTATATAGAGCTATATATGCATGTATCAGAATCCCATGGGAGAGACCCCCAGGACCTTTCCCTCCAACATCCCAGGTGGATCCACAGATCTCTCTCTCTCTCTCTCTCTCTCTCTCTCTCTAGAGTTGGAAGGGACCCCCAAGGATATCCCATGCAACACCCCATATCCATGTCTGTGTCTGTATAGAGCTATATATAGCCTATGGAAGAGACCCCCAGGGGTTTCCCCTCCAACATCCCAGGTGTACCCACGAATCTTTCTCCCTCTCTCTCTCTCTCTCTCTGTGTGTGTGTCTGTCATAGAATCCTACAGTTTGAAGGGATGCCCATGACTACCCCTCTACCATCCCATATATATTGTCCATGCCTGTATGTAGAGCTATATATGTAGGTATCAGAATCCTGTAGGAAAGACCCCTTCCAGGGCTATTTCCTCCAACATCCCAGGTGTATCCACAGATCTCTCTCTCTCTCTCTCTCTCTCTCTCTCTCTCTCTAGGATTCTATCTCAGAATCCTAGCGTTGGAAGGGACCCCCATAGTCATCCCCTCCAACATCCCATATGTATGTCTGTGTCAGTATAGAGCAGGCACGGAAACCTCAGCCCTGGAGGTGTTTTGGACTGCAGCTCCCACAATTGTGGAAGTCCAAAACACCTGGAGGGAGGGCCAAAGTTTGCCCATGCCTGGTATGGAGCTATACACGTGCATATCAGAATCTTAGAGCTGGGAGAGACCCCCAGGGTCATCCCCTCCAACATCTCCTATGGATGTCTCTGTGTCAGCCTGTCTCTCTCTCTCTATACATATATCTCTTATAGAATCCTAGAGCTGGAAAGGACCCCCAGGAGCATCCCCTAAACATCCCATATGCATGTCTGCCTCTGTATGGAGCCATATATGTGTGTGTACAAACATATAGCTGTATACAAACACAGGCATGCATATGTGAGTATATACAGATACACATACATACATACTTACACATATGTACACACATATATAACAGAATCCTAAAGTTGGGAAAGTCCCCAAGAGCCATTCACTCCAACACCTCCTATGTATGTCTGTGTATTCACCTCTCTTTATAGGTATGCCTATATCTATATTATAGAAGCCTAGAGTTAGAAAATGACCCCCAGGGCCATCCCCTCCTACCTCTCATATGTGTCTCTATAGAGCTGTATGTGTGTGTATGTATATATATATATATCAGAATTCTAGAGTTGGAAGGGACCCCTAGGGTGCCCCCCCTCCAAGTCTGACATGTATGCCTATGTCTGTGTGAATCAATAATATGTATATATACATCTCTGAATCTTAGTTGGAGGAGACCCCAAGTGCAATCCCCTCCAACCTCCCATAATTATGTCTGTGTCTATATAGATCTATATGTATATGTGTGTGTATGTATGTATGTATATATATATATGTGTGTGTGTGTGTATCAAAGAATCCTAGAGTTGGAGGAGACCCCAAGTGAAATCCCTTCCAACCTCTCCTAAGTATGTCTGTATTTGTATAGATCTATATGTATGTATATGTGTGTATATGTGTATGTATATGTGTGTGTGTGTGTGTATATATCTATATCTATATCTGTATCTGTATCTCAGAATCCTAGAGTTGGAGGAGACCCCAAGGGCCATCCACTCCAACCTCCGATAAGTATGTCTGTGTCTGTATAGATCTATATGTATATGTATGTATATGTGTGTGTGTGTGTATATATATATATCAGAATCCTAGAGTTGGAGGAGACCCCAAGGGCCATCCACTCCAACCTCCCATAAGTTTGTCTGTGTCTGTATAGATCTATATGTATATGTATGTATATGTGTGTGTGTGTATATATATATATCAGAATCCTAGAGTTGGAGGAGACCCCAAGGGCCATCCACTCCAACCTCCTATAAGTTTGTCTGTGTCTGTATAGATCTATATGTATGTGTGTGTGTGTATGCATCTATATCTATCTACCTATATACCTATCTATCTATCTACCTACCTATCTCAGAATCCTAGAGTTGGAAGAGACCCCAAGGGCTACCCCCTCCAACCTCCCATAGGTATGTCTGTGTCTGTATAGATCTATATGTATATGTATGTATGTATATGTATGTATGTATATGCATGTGTCTATCTACCTACCTACCTACCTACCTACCTACCTACCTATCTATCTCAGAATCCTAGAGTTGGAAGAGACCCCAAGGGCTACCCCCTCCAACCTCCCATAGGTATGACTGTGTCTGTATAGATCTATATGTATATGTATGTATGTGTATGTATGTATGTATGTATATGCATGTGTCTACCTACCTACCTACCTACCTACCTACCTACCTACCTATCTATCTCAGAATCCTAGAGTTGGAGGAGACCCTCCAACCTCCCATAAGTATGTCTGTGCCTGTATAGGTCTATATGTATATATCTCCTAGAGTTGGAGGAGACCCCAAGGTGTGTGATCCCCTCCATCATCTCCTGGGTGTGCCTGTGTCTCCTCCTGCCTCTATCTCAATCAGGCATGGGCAAGCTGGCCTTCCATGTGTTAGGAATGGTGGGAGGTGAAGTCCAAAACACCTGGAAGGAGGATCGAAGTTGGCCCGAGCCCTCTCGACAGATGCCCACTCAGCCTCTCCCACCGTTTTAGAATTAGAGGGGGTTGAATGGACTTGGACCCTGGCT